TTTACAGTTTTGGTATATTTGCTGCTCAAGGTGGATACCTCAGCTAAAGGCATATTTTAGAGTCTCTATACTCCTGTTAACGCTTAATCACTTACTAAATTAGTTGATCGTTATTTCAATAACCGATTAATCACCATTAATCTGATTGTCTCAAACATTGTTGATATATATTACTTTCAAATCATATGAAATAGAATAGAAAATTCCTTTATTGTCCCACATTGGGGAAATTCTGGTGTTTACAGCAGCAACAAAAAAAAGTTTACAAGAATAACGTAATAGTGAAGAGTTAAAAAATAAATAAAATTATATATATGTGTGTGTGCATTATTTTAATAAATATATGATTCAACATACTGAAGAAAACGAACATAAAAAGCATAGAGCCTTATAGAAAGTAAAATGAGCTTTTACAAAAATTGTTTAAGTTTTGACTTGTGATTTGTTTTCACACCTTCAACACAATATAAACCCAAACACATAAGTATTCCTACATTTTTAAATCGTAGCGCGGTCATATTTATTTCACATTTAGATGTATGTATATGTGTGTTTGTATATAACTGTGTAAATATATATATTTTTTGTGTGCGTGTGTATGAATATTGGAAAAAAAAACAAGTTTAACAGGAAGGTTGCTTTACTTTAAGTTAAATCCAGTGCAACTAGAGGGAGAGGAGGTATGAAAAATAGGTTTTACTTCTTCATACCCCTTCTCAGACAATTTACATTAATCGATAGCATTTCTCTGGCTGTATATACCGACAGGTTTATTTGGTGGAGGGCTTTGTTTCTATTTATGTTCATTCAGGTAAGTAAGTAAACAAGGTTTATTTATATCTCAATTTTCACAGACATAGAGGTCACAAAGTGTTTCACAAAATTTCAATACAAATAAAAATACGCTTAAATGTACAGATGCAAATGACATGGTCATAAAACAACCCTTAATTTACTAGAATTAAAATGCAAATAGGTTTTCAGTTCACTCTTAAAAAAACAATTTAAGAGGGAATTTAGTCAGTATGGAAATTGGTGTTCGGTTTGCTTGAAGTTAACTAGTCACATTTGTGCGTATTTGGTTGATTTATTTATTGTTGTTTTCTAAAAATAAAATGTCTGATATAAATTCCTATTAATTAATTCATTTATTCAGAAAAATGTTTTCTGCACAGTTGTCCACAATAATTTAAGCAAAGCACATAGAAGCCATGTGTTTACCTATTCTCTGCCATTTAGCCACCCAGCTGTCTTCTGGACTCATCATGGCTGTAACACTGGAAAAACACAGTAAAAAAAAACAAAGATTAAAACATCTTATTTTTTTTCCAACACCCCTTATCTAAAGCGGTTTTGAAAAATAATGAGATTCCTGTTGTGCGTTGAGTGATTGTTTACCCATCAAATGAGGAACTTGTGCATTCATAAACCATTTCTCTGTTGCCCTTCATCTGAAGGTACGACTCACAATTATCACATCCATCATATTCAAACTGGTCAATCGTCTGGAGACGGAAAAAAACACAAAGGAGTGGGAGAATATGAGTTCAATTCAACATAGAGACAAAATCCGACACATAAGCTAACAGTTAGCATATAGGCTAGCTAGGTTTACCTTCACGAGAGAGCATAACAGACACGCCCGGAGGTGGCGGAGATCTTTCGGCACCGTTTCTAACGCCATTGTGTATAAACCTCTAAACACGTAACAACAAATAATCCAATAATTATCACAATGTTTAATTCCTGGGCTGTACTTTTTTTCTACGGGCGCACAATGACGTAAGCGGTAACTGTAGGACTCAAACAATGACGTCCTAATTATGCGCCTGATTAAAAACAAAATATTATTAGGCGCTTTTAATTAACAATTTACATTTTACCTTAAAAAGATTTGGATTTTTTTATATATAGAAGAAAATAAGCGGCGTAAATGTCAAATAATTATCTTAAGGCATCAAAAATATTTCGCGTCGTCATTGATTTTAGATTGTTGAGCCTTTTTCTGTTGCAAAGGTTTTCAGATCAACCTTAAATTAAAATATATTGTTTTTTATTTTATTTAACTACTTATATTTATAAATAATATTTTTTTTTATAAAATTAAAATATAATTGAGATTTGAAGTCTTCTCTTTTACTAATGAAAAACATAAATACAGTTGTAGAAAAGATGGGACATTATTTCACAGTGTTTTACAGAGGCTACAAGATTAATCCGTGACATTTCCATACAGTGAGGAAAATAAGTATTTAAACACCCTTCTATTTTACAAGTTCTCCCACTTAGAAATCATAGAGGGGTCTGAAATTGTCATCATAGGTGCATGTCAACAGTCACTTTTTTTTCTAAAAAGAAAAAAATCCAGAAATCACAATATATGTATTTTAACACCTGAGAAAACCAATGTTATTATTTGGTAAAGTAACCTTTGTTTGCAATTACAGAGGCCAAGCGTTTCCTGTAGTTTCTTAAATTATTGACTTTATTAATCTCACATAGTGAGTATTAAGTATTAATCTCATAGTGAGTCCACATATGACAGCTTTTCTTTTTTTTAGTAGGATCATTATACAGGGTTATTGCACAGGGTGTTTACATGGGTATCTATATAGTTGGATATTTATATATATATAGTAATTGCACTGGGTGTCAAATATAGGGAAACAGGTTATTGCTCAGGGTATCAAATAGTAATTGCACATTATACATTGCACAAGTTATTTCTGTTGTATTTTCACCAGGTTTGTAGACCTTGCAGGAGGGATTTTGGCCCACTCCTCCACACAGATCTTTTCTAGATCAGTCAGGTTTCTGGGCTGTTGCTGAGAAACACGGAGTTTGAGCTCCTTCCAAAGATTCTCTATTGGGTTTAGGTCTGTAGATTCGCTAGGTCACATCAGAACATTGATATGCTTCTTCCAGAGCCATCTCTTGGTTATAATGTGTGCTTCGGGTCATTATAATGTTGGAGACCCAGCCTCCACCCATTTTCAATGCTTCAACTGAGGGAAGGAGTTTGTTCCCCAAAATCTTGCAATACATGACTGCAGTCATAATACAGTGCAGTCGCCTTGTCCCATGTGCAGAAAAACAACCCCAAAGCATGTTGCTACCACCCTCATGCTTCACAGTAGGGATGCTGTTCTTGGGATGGTACTCATTATTATTCTTCCTCCAAAAATGGTTGGTGGAATTATGACCAAAAAGTTCTATTTTGGTTTCATCTGACCACATGACATCCTCTCAAGACACCTCTGGATCATCCAAATGGTCATTGGCAAACTTGAGACTGTCGTTGACATGTGCTGGTTTAAGCAGGGGAACCTTCTGTGCCATTCATTGTTTCAAACCATTACATCTTAGTGTAAAGTAACCATGGAAACGGTGGTCCCAGCTCTTTTCTGGTCATTGATCAGCTCCCCTTGTGTAGTTCTGGGCTGATTTCTCACCTTTCTTAGGATCATTGAGACCCCACGAGGTGAGATTTTGCATGGAGCGCCAGTCCGAGGGAGATTGACAGTCAGCTTTAGCTTCTTCCATTTTCCAGTGATTGCTCCAACAGAGGACTTTTTTCACCAAGCTGCTTGGCAATTTCCCTGTAGCCCTTTCCAGGCTTGTGGAGGTTAATAATTTTGTCTCTAGTGTCTTTGAACAGCTCTTTAGTCTTGGCCATGTTAGTGGTTGGATTGTTACTGATTGTATGGGGTGGACAGGTGTCTTTATGTAGCTAACGACCTTAAACAGGTGCATTTAATTTAGGATAATAAATGGAGTGGAGGTGGACATTTTGAAGGCAGACTAACACATCTTTGAGGGTCAGAATTTTAGCTGATAGACAGGTGTTCAAATACTTATTTTCAGCTTATCATGCAAATAAATTGTTATAAAAAATCATATATTGTGATTTCTGGATTTTTCTTTTCTTTTCAGATTACCGGGTATGTCTCTCAAAGTAGACATGCACCTACGATGACAACATCAGAACCCTCCATGATTTCTAAGTGGGAGAACTTGCTAAATAGCAGGGTGTTCAAATACGTATTTTCCACACTGTATCTATTAATACATTGATTTGTTGAATATGTACAGTAAATTATTTCACAATGCAGGCCTACTTCCTTTACCTTACTGTAAACCCAACAGTCGTTAGTTTAACTCTGGTCATTGACCAATTACCATTTAGGAGAATAAATTATATGCCTAAAAAGTTTGTTGTCACATTTTTAAGATATTAATAATGTTTATGAGACTAGCGTTTTTTAGTGGTGCCTGTGTATCCGGTCCATTTCTGTTTTGTATCAGCCACACAAAACCTGTAAGATTGGCCTCTCTTTTCTCACAGATACTGGAAAACTAAAGGTTCTCACAAGTGCAGTACATGTAAGAGGAGCATCTTTTTCATTTACTATTTGAGATACATAATTAATACTATTTTGGATCCAATTTTAGTGTATTGATTTGTGTTTGTCTGTTATTCCAAATCAAAGATTAGTGTGCAAAAGAGTTATGTTTGTATATAAGAAGCCAACATGATAAAGCACATCTGTGAAATGGAAGAATTGGCGAATTAATCTACATATGTTTCTTTTGCACCAAAATCCTTTCACTTTTTAAATGATAACCCTGACAGGAATAGCCACGGTTTCAAGAGGGTCAAAACAATCTGACCTCTAGGATGTACTGTATTTTGTGTAAAATATTGTGTAACAACAAGACAATTGAGGTCTCATTAACTAAAAAAAACTGTTTAACAAAGCAATACCTTTTCCCTTTTTCTTTCTTGTTGGGAATAAAAAAAAAAGGGGGCTGAAACTGCTGGACTAATTTTGGAATTTTTACCTTGGTGCGATGCTTTGGCAGTATAGTGCTGGTTGTATAGATCTGTGTGATCACAGCAAGAGGCACATCTTTTATGTACATATATGTGAATATATATTTTTATATGTATGCTTGTATGTATGTATACTGTATATGTACACATATTTTTTTTTTTTTTTTTTTTTTTTTTTTTGGCCCCAAAAAAAAAAAAAATATATATATATATATATATATATATATATATATATATAAATATATATATATATATATATAAATATAAATATAAAAGACAAACCAATGCCTTTAGGATTAGTTTTACTGTAAAATACTTTTTACACTTATTTAAGCAAAAAATGTTTGGCTGCTTTTTCCATATAGAGTAAGTTAAATAAACTGAACTGAATTGAATGAATCCTAAACAAGTGAATGTTCCTTTTAACACAAGCCTTTTTATACTTTATCAGATGCATTTCCTGAGACATTTATTGACTGATTTATTGATATTATTGATCTCACAGTGGAGAAATGTACCTATTACATTGGCTCAAATAGTCAAAAAGAAGAAGGTGCCAAAGGAAGAAAAGATGCATGGGGGTATATACATTATATATAGTTCATCCACATATATGACAGCTGAAGTCTTTTTGATTTTTTTTTCAAAGCAAGATTATTATACAGGGTTATTGCACAGGGTATTTACATTGATATTTATATATATAGTTATTGCACTGGGTATCTCACCAGTTTGTTCTGTTTCTTTAGAGATCAATATATGTATAATATGTATAATATAGGTATTTCTAATAACATGTATACATTAGCCTACCCCCTGAGAGGATTGGTTTTATAAAGTTTATGCTGAAAAAAAATCTGATTTAGATAAGTCTTACGTCTGACTTTGTTATCCTTCAGTTACAGCATTTATAATAATTACTTTATTATAGTCTTTATAATATTGTTATGTTATGCTGTATAATTTTAAATAGTAAATTTTAATGTTATGATGAGTTACTTGAGTGTCCATTTTACCAAATAATTTCTTGAATGTGTATTTTACCTCTTATTTGGGTATAGAGTAATGCAAATATTAACTCAAAAGGCATCTATAGCCAACAGGTTACCATGGAAACGTGCCACCTTCAAAAGCTCAAACGGTTCAGGAATTCCCAACTTCTGGAAGCACGGCTGAGAAAAGGTATGTTTCCCGCTGTCCTTTGTTTTTAAAATTTTTTTAAATTGTTTTTATATTAGAAACAAATAAATATATATGCATTTTACTTAATAGTGTTAAAATGATATGTAATTCAATTTAACATTTTATTTTAAAGCAGTTTAACGAGCTAAAGCTAGCAAAAGTCTCCTTGCTAACAGCGATGCTCTTATTTTATTGAACGTTATCCTAAAGTTTCCGCTATTAATAAGTAAAGTTTAAGATATATCATATTGTATTTGTATGTTTTTTTTTTTACTTCTTTATGACTGTAGAATGAGTTAATAGCTAGGAAAAGCGTTCTAACGGCTAATTAGCTGCGTGTTGTCCGTTAGTTTTCCAGAGGACCGTTAGAGGCTCCACGCATTAAAACATGGCGGAGGCCAATGAGCCCCCTCCTATCAACGCCAGTATTTTCCCCGCTAAACTTTGGCGCATGGTGAACAACCCGGAAGACGGAGCCATACGGTGGGACATCTGCGGGAAGGTCATCATCATCGACCAGCAGCTCCTTGAGACCCGCATCCTGTCCCCCAGCTCCATCACCGCAGACAGCTTCAAGACTACCAACTTCACCAGCTTCGTCCGCCAGCTCAACCTGTATGGCTTTAAAAAACACCAGCCGCGTGTTGATCAGGTGAAAGCTGGTGAAGCCAGGTCCTATCATTATTATAGCAACCCCAACTTTGTGCGAAGTTCCCCTCAGCTCCTAAGGAACCTGGTGAGGCTGACTGTGGGAAATAAAGCCAAGCTTAGTGCAGGAC